ACGGGCGACTGCCAACTCGTCTCCAAGATGCCCAGGAAGGCTCAGAAGAAGACTACCAGACAAGACCCAAAGAAACGGGCCGCGGAAGACACCAGGGCGGCTAGTGATGATGAAGTAAGTAAGGAAACCGTGCGTACGCCGCACGTGTAGGTACGGCCTGTACGCGGCAGCGTGGCAATCGCACAGACATCGTACGTTGTAAGCACGTACAACTCACTTACCACTTGCGCAACGTACGATGCACGCAACCGCTGACGGCCAGGCGTGTCGTGCAGACCAAGAACGTACACCTTGCGCAACCGTGCGAGTGACGTACTCCCTCGGCCGGTCACCCTACGTTTTCAGAAAAAACGTAGCAGACGTAGCCTCCCAAAAAACGTACGGACAAAAAACACGCACGGCGAGTTGTGACCGTCGCTTTATTTATCAATTAATTGGCTCCTTGTTGCAGTAAGGTATAGTTTTCCCTGCGAATGCGAATAAAATCCAATGTGGCCGAACTCCCTAGGCCATAAAATATTAATGTTTATTTCTTTTACTTTTTATATCATTCTTATTGTTACTCTGGTTAAGGAAAACATCTTTCTCTATAGTAATCTGAATTTAAATGTAGTATACATTTCCCCACAGATGGTATGTACATTTTTGTGCACAAACGTAACGCAAAACTATTATACAGTCACTTAACCCTACCTAGACCGGGGGGGGCTAAAAGTGCCCGCGCCAACTTTGATGTCACCTAGCGTCTGAACGGCTAGCCGTAGAACGGCCAAACTTGATGACTTTTCCTAGAATATTGTTGGCAACAATTGTCTATCACTGGAATAAGATAATAATTTTTTGTGTTACCATGGCAACGGGTTTCTGACAGGCTTTTTTTGTTAAATTTAGTACTTTTTGTTTCACCAATTTAGTACTTTTTGTTTCACCAATTTTATTCTAAAAACCGTAATAAAAAAAGGTTGCTTACATACTTACTTTAAGATTATTTGATTGAACATCACGGGATGAGATTCATTCTGTTCCAAAGGAAGCATAAGAGACCTGACTTCAAAAGCACTGGCTGCATGATGACTGTCCCGCTCTTTAATATGGGCGGCGTCTAAATACGAGTCCAGAAAATAACCACAAAAACTGAAAAAAAAGTTTTAGTGCAATTATAGTAACTTGTGGACTTGTGAATAAAATGCAGAACTTTTAAACATAATGAATATGTGCCTACACTTTATCTACAACTTTGCAAAGGAGACCATTATGCAAATTAAACTAGAGGTCGGAGATCTCATGCCTTCGTCAGAGGAACATTGTTCTAGATAATTGAACATCTGTATTCTTTACCTTAAAAATCAATTTTACACTACAAAAAATCGCTGTACTCCTTTTTATTGCACGGAACACCCTAAAATGATTTGCCACAGATTTACAGACGCACTGTCACCCGTGTTACGCCCTCCAACGTTATTTGATTACTAACAAATGTTCCAAGAAATTCGGCATACCGTCTTATGATCAAAGTGTCACGACAATGTCGCAAAATGTAATAAGAAAGTGTGTACTGAAAATGTACTGAAAGGGAAAATTCAGAACAGGGTTACTGTATTTCTACAGTTAGTATTTTCCATATCACGTTTTTGGGCCTTCATATATTTTATCCTTGCAAACGTATGTGGTATAAAGGTCTCCACTGGAGGTAATCCATAAAAATTACTTGGTTTTGCATTAGGGAATAACCTGAAACATGTCAAACATTCCTCTTCCCACTGTAGTTATTATGAAACAACCCCTTAATTTAAGAATGAATGAATGAAGACCTTTATTCTACATTCTTGCCCCACTGGGCTAAAAACAGGTCACATTATACATATTCGAAAACATATTCATATAAATATACATACAACTATTATATGTACATGTATATATAAATGTCTAATGTATTGTAGTCTTTTCAACTTCTTCTCGCTTCTTAGTAACTATGTAAATGTAAGATGCTGTATGTGTAGTTAGATTTGGTTTATCAAAGGTAAACAGGAATATAATTTTTTCTTCTTAAGAATCTGAAGTGGGCAAATTTACTTAAAACATGTCGGAGGAGTATGCGTCTATGGTAAAATGTACTTCGTCCTCTACTCTATCTAGACTATAAAATTGGCAGATTCTTTGCTCTAGGGGAGTGCGGTTATGTCTTCCTGCTTCAATTCACAATTTGTGACAACTGATTCTTAGTTTTGTGATGTTGGATCTCTGACGTACATTTGCTAATTTAAGATATTCTTTTTCGTTATAAGAATGTTTTAATAGTCTGTATAATCTGAGTTTATTCTTTGCATTTGCAGTTCTGTTATCGTTGTGGATTTCGGATAGAAATGTCTAAAAATAGATATCTTTTAGACGCTGATAAATTGAAATCAACTGATTCCAGTTGGGGTTCCCAGCTGTCCCGGTTGAATCAAAGCAGAGGTTGCTTGGAGAGAATCATTATATTTCTAACACAAAAGGCGACGTACGGACCCTCCAAGAGGCTTTCATAAATAACCCCACACATTCCTAATTTTTGTTTAAGTTTCCTTGTTTACTAATTTTCATTACTACTTTTCATTATTGTACTTTTCATTATTTTCATTATTATTAATTTTCATTATAGTATTGTATTGTATTGCATTTTATTGTTTTGTTTCATTTACCCGTTACCTAAGGTATTTCTTATTTATCCGATTTATTTAAATTGTTAATCACGTTATGAAGGGAGGCCTCCTCATAAGCATTTTTATGCTTCCGGCCTCCCTGCACAGTTACATTTAATTTATATTTTCTTGTATCTGTATTGTTACATTGTTTTAACGTGCGAATAAAAAACTGAAAAAAAACTGAAACTGAGGCCCGTGTTCAAACTTGACCTTGGCCTGCCTATAAAAAATCACGAACATTCCTTTTAATATACTCTTATTTTGCTCACAAGCCATAAACACAAAAGGTCCACTGCAGTGACGTAGGGACCCCCCACGGAGCCCAAACTTGCCTCGACAATGGTAATCTTCCTGCCAAACACCGTGGATGTCGAATCATGCCTTTGAGAGTTAATCCGCTGAATCCGAAGTCACCCACAATATGACGAGACAATTCCATCGTCTTTTTGACGAAGATAACAACACTAAACCTGGAATTCTACTGCCCCACACCCTTGTAAAATAATGTCTGAATTCATAACTGGCGAAGTCTAAATATTTCCCATTGCTTATTGATGTTTATAATAATCATAAATGCGTTTTAGGCTTTCTGTAATGTCTTCCGTTAGCATTATGCATGTAATGGTTTCTTCTATACATCTATGCATATTCGGTCACACGGGAGAGAAGCAACACAATCTGCAGAGGAAGGAGCTCGCTGTCATCTGAAGTTTCTCAACACATCCACATCGAATCACCTGGCCACACAGTCTCTCTGGGCAAAGTTAGAATACTGGACACTGAACAGGACTACTTTCTAAGAGGCATTAAGGAGGCTATATATATCGGAGCACTTCAGCCTTCACTTAATAGAGATGGTGGACGATATAAACTCCCTGGCACTTTTGATCAATTGCTTACGTCACGTATCAGTAAAGTCTCGTGTGAATAAGGTCACGTGTTTGTAAACCGTAACTCTCGCGAGATCATGTTTCGAAGTGATTGATCATTAATTATCCTGATGAAGGCGACAGTGGTCGCTGAAAATTTGATCCCTGTAAATAGTGTGTTGGAATAAAGTTTAACGTTCTACTATGATTACTACCAACACAGATGAACTTTCATGAAAAGGCTATTATATTGTTTTTATTCTGCTTCATCTTCTCCGAATTCATAAGGTCAATTAACTTAACCAGACGCCTGCAACCATAACAAAACTGGCGTCCGCAACAAAATGAAGGGATTTAGAATCATTTCACCGAATGTAGGGGTGTGTTTGAGTGAGACAAAAAAGAGCAGACCATATGCGATGGAAAACATTTTGAATTTGTTTTGCGATGTTACCTTTGTAGCTACTTTTATTATTTCTTAATAAAATGTATTACCTTCCTGTAGTAAAGATGAGTAGATTCAACAAAATGTATTTTGCAGTGAAACTGGTTGTCTCCATTTTTTCTTGTCTGTGGTTCTGAAAACAATAAATTAGTGAAACTTTTAAGCTTGATACTGGGCTCTATCCAATTTACACAATAATACTTATTGTCAATTTACTTCTTGTATTTCTAAAAATTCAAAATTTTTAAACTTTTAGAAATAAAAAAATAAACAAAGCAATACGTCTTTTTTTATCTATCATTTTTGGCAATAAGTTTCAGTAAGGCTACATATAAAAAAACTGCATAAAATTTATAGAGCCTTTGTAACTTTTCTTAATTGTTTTTTTTCTAATTAATAATTAATTGAATTTCTAAACTAATAATGCAAATTAAGTCATTAATTACGTTATTTATATCTAATTGTGTACATTGTTATCTAAACTACTTCATGGTGTCAAAAACCATAAAGTCTTATCGTTAGTTTCTTGATCTATCAGTTTTGAACGATTATAATCAGTCTTAAAAGTTCAGTGATTGTATTTTCAAAATATGTATTTTTAGATTTTACGATTCTTTAAAAGTTTTTTTTACAATATTTGCTTGTAATGCTATGGTCTGTAGCAGTTATATTTTCTTTTGATTGTTCTTGCCTTTTTGGCACTAATTGGACAGTATATTGCCCTTATTTTTTGTTTACAGTGTTCCTCTTTTTGTAATTATAAAGTCGGCACACAGTAACCGTGAAAGAAAGGCTGATGAAATATGTAGGATCATTGGAAGACAAGGGGTTTAAAACATGATGCCATACTTTTTTCACAGCCTTTAAAAGGAAACTGGTCGTCTATTACGTATATCATAATTCACATCTTTATTTAAACATATTGAACATTCTCTAAGACAAATATGAAATAAGAACACAAACAATTTTGTCACAGATCAGTGGGACCCTAATTGCCGTCTACGAGAAGGCTATGAAATCGTTTTGGCACTGTTTGGCAGATTATGCACGATAGATTTTGAAGGCATGGTTCGAGGTTCACGATTTTTGGCAGGAAGGTTGTCTTAGTAATGGGCATTGTCAAGGCTTAAAATGGGATTCGTGGGGGGTTTCTTACGTGACTGGTGCTGACCTTTTGTGTTTGCGTTTTTGTTGTTCGTCAGATAACTCTGGAATCCTTAAATGGTTGTCAATGATTTTTAGTTGGCAAGTTACCGATGAGAATACGAAAATTTCCGAAATGGGCCTCATGGGAGTCCCCACGTCATTGAATTTGACCTTTTGTGTTGGTCATTATTGTTGTTAGCAGGATAATTCGTGAAGTCGCAAATGGATGTTCACGATTTTTTGCGAGAAGGTTACCGTTGACGATAGGAAGATGAAGTTAGGAAAAGGTCGTCGTGGAAGGTCCGTACGTTGCTGTAGTGGGCTTTTGGTGATTGAACATCTTAAGAGCAGGCGAAGTCTTGGTCTGGTTTTATATCTAGGTTAAAACAACAGGTTTCAGACAGGAAGCTGTCAAAAGTGGCTTTCTTTCGAAAAAAATTCTTTGAATGGTTGTTGAAACAGCATTCCCCAACACTGGCGTGCTTAACGATCGCTAATTTGACAGCACTGTGCCCCAGGGTAAACATCTGAAATGTGTTTTAACCCTATCTAGACCGGGCTTTTTTGAGCTTGGTGGGACCGGGGGGGGGGGGG